AATGCCGAGATGCTGGGGCAGATGTAGCATACCATGGGTCGGGGGGGTCCCCAGCACGCTCAGTGGCAGACTCAGAAGTGGACCAGAAGCACTTCCGGTAAACTTCTGGGGCCATTGCAGAGCATGTGGGGGACCCTGCCCCCTGGCTTGGTGACTGGGCCTCCTGTGTCTGGGGGGAGCACCTGGGATCCCCCCGTGGCCGATTGCTGAGCAGGGGAGGTGCAGGGGGAGGAGGGTCCCCATGTGTGCAGCAGCAGACCCAGAAGTGGTATGGACGTACTTCCGGTCCACTTCCGGGTCTGCCGCCAAGCACACAGGAGGCTCCTGTGGGACACTCCATCTGCCCTACCATCTCAGCAATCACAAGCCATGCCTCGTACCTCGAGGTGTGTAGAAAAAACATTTAAAGCTGTCTGTGGCCAAATCATTGATTCTCTGAATCGGCATTGAATCTTCAGGTTGAGCCAAATCAGATCAGGACAATGACCCGAATCAACAAATTGAATCACTGTCCCCTGATTCAGGCCGAATCCGAATCGAATACGGCCCGTTTCGCATACCCCTACTGACCATAATAACCATTGGGAGAACAAGGATAGTAGGAAGCATGTTCAAGCTTACAGAACGTTCTAAATTTAACAGGACATTATGAATAGCAGTAACCAGTAACAAAGATTCAAGTTAATGAGGTAAGAATCAGCCAAGCAAGTGGAAGGTAATATCCTAGGTGAGGAGAACAAATTGACATACATATACACCGGCACTTGAAAATGGTAAAAAAAAAAATAGAAACTTCTTGGAGATACAGGACAAAAAATGATATGTGAACTTGCAACAGGAAAAAAAAAAACATCTTGGAGCTACATTTACAAGTTCATGTAAATGGGCCCAAGTGAGACAGCTGAGAATATTGACAGTTCTGGGCCCTTCAGTATAAGGTTTACTTCATTTATCTAACAAAAAATTAGTAGCCTGAAAGGATTTCAGGGAAAAATTAAAACTAAGAATCCTTTGATGCTTTGTTGTCTCATGTTGGTTGCTGATCATTTGAACAAGTTTTGTTTTTCTTTATCAACCTTGTCCATTAAATAATGCTTTGCTTGTGACCGATATTCTCATTAGTGGTATTGCTATAACTTGTATGTTTCTTTTGCCTCCCATCCTTAGGAAAGAGTCATAAACCATGCAGCTGGCAGCCATGGGGTGTCAGGAATATTCATGAAATATGACATCAGTTCGCTTATGGTGACAGTGACAGAAGAACACATGCCCTTTTGGCAGTTCTTAGTGAGACTCTGTGGTATTATTGGAGGAATTTTCTCAACTACAGGTAGTGCACCATGTGTTCTCTTTTACAGCCTTACCAGATGGGTAGGATGTCATGATTAAAAGCCAAGATTCCATTAACCATCCAGGTTACACTTCTTAAGAGTTTGTGTAAATGAGCTGTTAGATGGCCATGAATGTTAGAGAGCCTAGCTAGTAGTCTGTTAGATTTCCATTCAATTTTTAATCGCAAAGTAATATGTAAAGAACTTCTAAGGGCACTTAGGGTTGATGTGCCATTGTTTTTGTTGATACTTAAAAACTGTATCTGCTTTTTCCTGGAAGTACTTGGATATACAGTGATATATATCTATCTAATTCCTACATTTGGGGCCCAGTTCTGTTAACCAGTCCCAAAGCAGGGGTGGGTTTTTTTGTGTGGTGTTTTTTTTTTTTAATAGAAAAAATATAACTAACCATCATCCAGTTTACACAGGTCACTAATACAGTAAAATATCTGTTATCCGGCATGAGTAGGGAATGGGGGGTGCCAGTTATCTGAGAGTATACCTGGCAAGGAAGACAGTGCCATATTTGTAGTGCAAATTTTCAAAGAATTTGTATACCATACATTACAGTATAACATACTGTATAAAGAATAAAATAATATACAAGTACTCACCAATTAAGTAGTAGTAAAGCAGCACTGGAGTGAAGAGAAATCCTAAGGCAGTGATGTACAGTATAGTACACTAAAGTTGTATGTAGTGCACTATTGGCAGTGCATAGCATACACCTAGATCACTTAAAAGTACAGTACACTTAACACTGCAGTGTGCATCCTGCTGCTGAAAATGGCACAGCAGACAGCAAAGCAGCGCAGCGCCGTGTGCATCCTGCCACTGAAATTCTGGTTAATAAAGTACTCTGCTTAGGTAAATGCTGGATAACAAAGATTTTACTGTAGTGTCTCGAGTGGTCTCTGATCACCAATTCTTTGAGCTTGTAACCTGTCATCCTTGCAAAAGGGCCATGCTAATCTTTTTTTTGTCTTACTCTGGTTTTTGCTGCCACAGGTTGTAACCAAGGCTGATATTCTTGGTCTGTCTTTTTTTTCCATTCCCACAGTGGTACTGAAAACAGCCTTTCTATGACTTTGTTCCCAGAAAGTTACTAAGTCTTTTCCTACTTTGCTTGAGTAACCATTCTAGATTTTCCAGCCACCACCAAGCCCAATAAAATGTTTACAAATTCCATTAGTCTCCAAGGAAAAAATAATATATTGGTGCCTCTATAGAAATAGAAAAGTGTGAAAATGTATGTGCCTGGAACAGTTCCATAGAAAACCTCTGTAGCTTGAAACTGCTAATTGGTTCTGTGTTGCTTCCTGGGACAAAGTTGCTTTTTAACTCTGATTACCAGTGCCCTGGATGGGATTTGCAATTTAAGAACTTATTTTGTTCAGTGTCTTCCTTGTTATAAATCGTAGACGGGTCTTAGTTCAAAGTACTGACTTATTCAGTGCGTAATGCAAGTGTGTAGCACATGCCTGTTGCCAGGGGACACTTTGTAGAATACAGTACAATTATACTTCTTTTGGTTTAAAACTAAGCTAGCAAAAAAGCTGTCAGGTCCTTGGTGGAAAACAGTCTTCCTTTATGGATGGATTTTTTTATTTTATTTTATTTTTTGATCTAAAATAATAGTTTGTCAATCAAGAATCATTTTTTTTTGTTTCTCACCCCTGACTCAGCCAGTGAATAAATGCAAATCTCTTTGTTGATTAATTCATGCTTTCTTAAGTCGAAATTAAACTGGTGGGGAGAGTTTGCTCTGATATATGTAAGAACTAAAATATTTTTCATTACAACTTAGAAGTCTCTAAGGAAATCAGCAAAAGTATAAACATATATTTTTTCTGTTCATACACTGCAGTCTATTGTCCTGAAATAGTGTTTTGTTGTTGTCATTTCAAAAGCTTTTAGTGCAGAGTTCTTCTCTCATCCCTTGTAAAAACTCAAACCCTGTCTGATATTACAGGCATTTTACATGGCATTGGAAGATTCATAGTGGAAATCATCTGCTGTCGTTTCAGATTGGGCTCATATAAATCTATATCGGTAAGAGTACTTGTTTTGTGATAAATTTAAAGAAATGGTATAACCATTTTCAAGCACAGTACAAGGTTTGTTTAAAAAAAACAGCTCTTATGTGAGCGAACAATGATAGCACCCAATACTTATCTTGTGTAAGATGTTCAAACAGAATCCTCTTCAACAGAAGCATGATAAGAAGCTTTTAAAAACAGTTTGAGCATGTGTGTTGGGAGGGGGGGGGGGTTGTTTTTGTTTTTTTATATATTTTTTTTAAGCTAGGCTGTTATAGTTGGATGGTTTATACTTTGCTAGAAAGGAGAAATCACAAGAACACAGAAAAGCCAAAAATGGGATTCTGCATTCAAACCAAAACCATGCAATGCATGCAATTTTTGGACAGGCAACTAATAAGTTTTTATTTCTATCCAATTAGGTCCCACTTCCTGATGGCTACATAAACAACCACTTACCTCTAACTACAGACAATGGTACGCATTAGTAACTCCTTGAGGAAACCTTTTTCTTTCTGCCTGATACAGAAGACACTTTTTTATAATAAAACATTGTGCAATATGTTGAGACAGTGCTGATGGGCAGCAAAAATTAAGCCTTTTAAAAAAAACAAACAAACAAAATCTGTGTAATTTGTCTCTCTCTTTTAAGTGCACATGGAGTCAAGTGAAGCCAAAATGTACCATGAGGTCAACATCTTGATATAGCAGGCACGTTACTGGAGGACTGTGTCCAGAGTGAATCTAAAGTCCATGCCTATGAAGTCAAACTCCTGTAAAAACTAATTTATATGCAGCAGTTTGGCAGCAATAGTTATACTTCATGAAGCCAGGTTTGCTGCCAGGTTTACAGAAATGGGATGCAAGCCCTTCTTTTAACCAGAAGATGTGGGAGCTTAGTTATTCTGCTGACAGGTTTTTGGGAGGAGGGCTATAAGAAACCCTGAACTAGAGAAAGGAAGGGAAAGCTTGATGAGGTGAGATGGAGCTTGAGCCATAGCCCTCACAGCTGCCACTACCATTCTCTAATACCATCATTACCTACAGGAAGGAAAAGGACACAGAGCAGGCAAGGCACATTTCTCTGTATTTCTACCCACAACCACTTTGTCAACAATCAGATTATGTTGATTCCAGGAGTTCCTGGAGCCTAACAAGAATTGGGTCCTATATCTTTGTGTTAGAGCTGAGGAGCCAGGAACAATGTCTTCAAAAGGTTTTTTGAGCGAGTCATTACTTGTTTGCTTATCCCGGTGCAAAACTCAGCCAGGAAGTGTGAGAAACCACCTCTCTGCTCCAGCTCAATACAGAAATGTCTTCTATTTCTAAAGAACAGAAGATCTGTCTGCTACGTGACAAATAAAAAATGGAGATCAGAGGACAAAGAAGAGATTGGAGGAACAAATAGCTAAGAACAGCAAGGCAGCTTCTTGCTAAATTCCACACGAAGCACAGATTTTGGCAAGTCAATAAGTTGACTGGTCCATCCGGGGAACTGGAGACAATCTCCAAGAAACAGGTGACTGCGCTGAATCAATTGTTTCTCTGCAGATAAATGGTGGGGAAAGATGTTGAGCTATGAAAGCTTTTTAAGTTCTACACTATGGGCATAAAGCTGTAATATGCAAGTGGGAGTGGATAGTGGTAATGTGGTAGTCTTAATAAGATGAAGGCAACTATACTGTAGCTGAACTACTGACAGAAATCTATAGTTACACACAGCTACTCTACCCAGATGAAAGACCAACAAAAGTTCCTTTCCTTTCGTAGGAGCTAATTCTAATCTTGGGCCCTCGATGCTATGCAATGGTTATTACAACATGGAGGACTGAACATAGAAAAAGAATACCCCTACTGTTGATTGTTTTCAGATTTTACTTGCTTTTATTGACACATTCCATAAAGTGCTGGAATTTCAGTCACAAGCCCAGTATAAATATTAAACTGATTTGCCCTGTCCTGATTGTAAGCCTAAAAACAATCTTAACATGAACATTATGTGAGTGTTGAAGTGGGAAAGGGAGAAAACTATAGTTTATTTTGGCTACTGTAGCAGACCAAATTCAAGGAAATAGTCATTTGAGGTGGGAAGCAAGTTTGACCTGGATTAAAACTGATTTAGATAGGAAACAGGCTCTTGTCTTCAGTGCCCACATTGAATGGCTTTGTGCGCCACGCATCCTTGTGCTGCATGTGTACTGCTTTTGAAAGAATCAGTGCATTCATACGAGTCTTATCCTATGGCACCTATGCACTCTGTTCTGTAGTGCTCAGCATTGCTGCTAGGAGCGGGGCTTTTAGGGTGACTTAGATATGAAGCACTGCGCTATGGGATGGAACGAGGGACAATTTACCCTAGCATTTGCCAAGCTTGGCTGCTGCTTGTGCCTACAAAGGTAAGGTCGTTATAAACTGCAACAGTTTAGCTGGACCTGAACTGTATCAGATGTTAGAAGTGATAAGGTTTACAACCACACCTGGGACAGCTGTTGTGCATTGATACAAAGAGCATTACAAGTTCATGACACATGATTGCAGTGGTTTCTTGGAATTCTGATTTTCTTTGAATAGGTGGACAAATTGTTAGAGCTAAAGGATGGAAAATGGAAAGAGCGAGACTCTCCAGAAAAGTTGGAAAGCTGGCATTATTTGGTTGATTAGACAGATGGAATTTGTCCTTTCATTTATAGTCAAGTGAGCAAGGAAGGCTTGATATGTGAATTTGGGCAGTGTGATGGTAGATGACAGTTATAGATTTGAGGGACTATTACAAAATAATCCTTCTTATGAATACACTACATTTTCAGTCAGAAGTTAGCAAATAATTTAAAAATGGCATGTCCGTCCAAATTGCATTAACTCTTTATTTGCCACAGCTTAAAGTCTAAGGCAGAAACGAAGGGCAAAAATTTTTTTCAAATAGGCAAAACTTCATAGGAGTGGGGAGCCAGACTTCCAAAGCAGTTTCAGGTTTTTTTGACAGCTGAAGTTGCTGAGCATCCAGAAATCTCACTGACTGTCTAAAGCTATGGCTGTTCAGTACTAATGAAAATCAAGCATAAGACATTTCTTTTGAGTTCACAGACAGAAAAAAACAATAATAAAGCCACACAAAACACTTCTGAAAATGTTTAACATATAACTTCAGCGTGGACAGACAAGAAAGATGAGCAGATGTATACATCAGTAAATATATAGGTATGAAAGCAAATGGATAAGGACAGTCAAGTCAGTGGAAGAGCTTTTATTTTTCTTGTATTACAAAAGACAGCAGCACTTCAAAGTCAGCACTTTGAAGGAAAAAGGAAAAGCTATGCAAAGTACAATGAAATTAGGGTCTCTGCTGAAAGATATTGGTATGGCATATTGAAAGAATAAAAAATAAGAAATGAATAAAATATCAAGCATCTTTAGATGCAATGAGTAACTCTTGGGTAAAAATTATGATTTGTGGTGAAGGACAAATTCTCTTCTCAATGGTGATGAGTATATGTTTCTGGCTATTCTGAATTATCAGGTGTTTTGTTAAATTGTGTCATAGGCCACAGTCAGAGACAGAATACAAGACAGGGTGGACAAATCATCTGACCTGCTATCTTCCTAGAGGAAATTCAAGTGATGTTTCAGAGGGAAAACCAGGAAAAAAAATGGAATATAGCAACCTTGTATCCTATATCATGGCCACAGATGGGAATGAATTGCAACAGCGTTCAGCAGATACATTTGTTCAGGTTTCCCTTCATAGGGGTTCAGCTGCTTGAGTTTTGGTTTTTGCAGAGGCTTGCTTGCTTATGGCTTTACATTAAACTTGCTTGATAACCTCTTTATACTTGCAGCCCTCAGAACATTATTCTTTTCCAGTTTCAGTGCACAGATATCCTGCTTGTACCAGGTGGGCTGTAGTTTGTTGCACTTCCTTATTTTAGCAGCTGGTTGGGTTAGTTGCAGCTGCACTGGTTTGGAGTCTTGCAACAACTTTACCTCTTTCCTTTGCCTCTGTGGTGCTAAGTAAAGGGAATAAGGTTCAGATGAGTGTATGACAGGAAGAAGGAAGCTCACTTTTTCTTTTTAAAGTAAAGTTTAGAATGCATTAACTGGGATGAAATTTGAGGGAATTGTTACCTCTAGCAGAAAACAGGACTGGATTAACAAAACTGGCAGATTTTTTTTCCCTGTAAGATGTACTGAACTGCCTTCCCCACCTCCACCATCCCCTTCCAGACCTGATCTGTTTAAAAATCAGTGAAGCTTTTTAAAGCAACCATTCAAATCATAGGACCTCAACATTTCCCACTTGGATAGAAACCATCCATTTGTTCAAGTATGTGTCCATTTTGTAGGGTCAGGAGGGGTGCTTGGCTGTACCTTGGTAATGTTGAGTCTGTATCTGTTGTTTAAGTGTTTATAAGGTGGCTCGTTTGAGGCTTGTGAAGCCACAAGTTTGACAGGTTAAAAATTATTCAGATAAGAAACGGGCTCTTGTCTGTACTGAGCAAAGAAATTGCTGTGCAGTGACTGTATTAAATGGCTTGGTGTCTCATCCTTGCAGCAGTTTAGTGCATCTCTGCTGTTATTGAACGAGCCAGACTACAAGGCTTGTATTACATCCATGGGACCTGTGCACTCCATTTTATAGTGCCCACTATTGCTGCTGGTGGAGCTACTTTGGCTGGTCAGCAGTGTGGCAACCTCAAGCAATGATGTTCCCCACTGGCTGTATCCCAGTGAGGAATTCTCTTTCAGAGAGTCCTTTGACCCTCTGGATTCAAGACTTGCTTGTGTGGCTACTTACTCATCACAACTGGATGTTTTTACAGAGTGAACTCAGGTGTGATCAGCTGCACAGACTATCTATATTGGAGGTAATAATTCATGGGATAACCAAACAAATTTCTGAAGTGGAGCTGAAGGCAAAGATGGAAGATTTGGTATAAAGAATGCGAAGTCACTCCTCTAAGAAATGAAAATAAACTGTGCAAGTACAAAGCTTGGGGATGTAACTAAGGTCACCAGTCACATCCTTGGCATTAATGTTACTCCATAATATATTTTAAATGTAACAGAGCACTATTGTTATTTGGGAAGATGTATCAGAACTGCTCAGTTTGGAGGGAAGTTGTCCATGGAAAAAGCTCTGTCCCTGCCTTAAATGTTGTTCCACGAAATAAGAACAGTTGTACAATATGCACCTGTTCTAGCCATGATACTTTACTCCAGGCACTTAGTTCTCTTATGTACTTCCATTATAATTCCTTTGGTTCTAGCTCTGTGCAGGTGTTGGGTCTCAGGCAGTAACCTGGTATTTTGATGTGTTGCAAAATACTTGTTTGCATACATTTTTATAACTTATGCAAATCCCCAGCAAACAAGAACATGTCACAGAGCCTTGGTGAACTCTGCTCACCCAGTGCTCTTCTCCATTTAAGACTAAACATTTTTGTATTCTGTCTCCTGCCTCAGCAAGTATCAGTGGGCTGCTGCAGTTAACGCTGGTGTTGAATCCAACAGGAGTGACTAGACTAATAGGAATTACCAGTACTCCATTTCATCTCACTGCCGTGGCTCTTTTCCTTGTCTCCTGAGGACACCCAGCTCCTGCTGGGCTGGGGACGAAACTGTAAGATTTTTTTTTTTTCCTTAGCTCCTGCAAGATTTTGCAAGAAATTTTTGAGACTTCAGCAGTAAGTGTTGCTGTTCGTGTATAAAAACCTGCTTGCACCTAGCAGTGCCTGATGGTACAAGACTTTTGCTATCCACAACAGAGCTGAATGCTAAGTAAGGTACCATCGAGTTCTGGCACCAAGGATGTGCCACCTTTTTTCACTGCCAGTGTCTTATCCAAAACTTGCGACACTTGCAGTGAGAATTGAGACTAGCAGAAGGGGGCCAGTAATAGGCTATATTAAAGAGTAATAATGTAACATCATTTGCTCTTGGTTTACTCCAGTGGCAGCTCCAGCACACCATGGCACATCATTATGCATAACAGCTTGACCAGTGCTATACCAGCCTGGGGGAATAAAAGGACAGTTTTCTGGATACTTGAGTTCCTTGCTTAGATTAAGTAAAAATGGTGCTGGTCTTTTGCTCTGAGAGCCCACTGAATCAGATTATTTTACATTGCAAATGCTCCATAGAAGACTGTTGCCTGTTTTGTTCCCCTGTATTCTAATGTGTATGAAGTAGTTTGTGATAGAAGAAGGAACAGCAAATGTTTTTATTTTGGTCCTTTCAGCGACAAGAGAGAGAGCATGATCTCCTTTGCTGGGAAGAGGTATAGCTGAAATTCCTCACAGCTCCCTGCACATGGGAATTATAAAATAGAATTAAAGTGGTGTCTTTTCTCCCTCTTCCATCTCCTGCCTGCTTCCCATGAGCTTTTTTTAAATCTTTGTTCAAGGGCCAGATAAATTATAGCTGAGGAAGGTCCAAACTTTGTGTTTGTGGTTTTTATTGATAGACACTAACAGTAATAAGGAATCTGATTTTTTTTTTGGTCTTTTTCCCCCCATTGCACCATCTTGATCTCCCCCACTCACAACACACATGCATTCACAATAACTAGTAAATTAGGTTTTTGTATGATGATGCTATGCGCAGCATATTGCTGCATTTCCTATGACAACTGCAAGCTAATCTATAAATGTTTTATGTATTTGTCAGAAAATGCTGGCCTATGCTTCCTTGCAGCCTTTTCAGTCATTTCCCATGAGCATTAGAAGAGGTGAGTGAATAGAGAAGGAAAGTAGTTTTGTAAGAGCCAGGTTCATTTATTGTTCTGCCAGTGACATGCTTTGTGGCTCTGGCTGAGCCACATTGCCTTTTCATGTCCTGGGGCTAATGACATTTACCTGCCTCAAATGGCTGCTGTGAGTGTAGATTAATATTTATGATGCACTCTGAAGGTAGAAGCATTATTGATGCCGTGGAAACCTTTTGGTATGGGAGTGCACAGCACATATTTGTGTCCCATTATTGTCAGGCTTATTTTTCTGCCTGCTGCTACAAAGAATCAACAGTTGATGTCAACTTAATTTTAATGACTATTTTTTTGTTTGTTTTAAATCTTCAAAAAAAAAAAAAATATATAAAAAAAAAAAAATCCAGTGACTGTTCCCAGCTCCACAGTATTATCACTATTTTATTGTACAAAAGCCATGGAATTTGAAGATGTGCTCTTTTGTTGCACTGTGTCTGTAATATAGGTCATAAACTGAAAATATTGGTCACAAGGTTTTTCAGTCCGTTTCACTGGGTGTTTAAGCAAGAATAATTGCTGCAGTGGAAATTTTCCAGAGAACTGTATTTTGAAGTCCTTGTCAGTATTGTAAAAACATTTTGGGGTGTCATTTCAGGAAATAAAAGATTGCAGGTGTTACAGCAGTATTTATTGCTGGATGATTAAATAAACTGCAGATGTAAAAGCTGCTACCTAGCTGTTAGCTCTGTCAAATTCCTGTCAATAAATAGCAGGAGCTATGAAAGTCTGAACATTTTTACTTGGTGTGTTTATAAATGCCACTATACAATTTAAAATAAGCAGGTGCCTGTCACAAGCAATGAATTTTAAACCAATGCTTGCTTTCCTGGATTGGTGCAAACCCCCATGCCCTTAACAGTCTGTGAAGTTAGTCATACAGTACTGTGTGTTGCCAGAAATTCTCAGCTTGTGTAGCTCCACTGAATTAGGGTGACCCTGTGTCTCAAATCTCAAAATAGGAAAGGTACATGCCACCTAGCTTGTTTCTGAGCTCCAGTCTTGGTGGAGCATGCAGCTGAGGGGGAGGGGGGAGGGGAGTGAGACATCAGTCCGAGTTGTATCATCAGTTTCTTCAAATTAATGCTTTTGTCCAACTTTCGGAAGCTTTTACTCCCCCAGCAGGGGAGGTTTGAAGAAATCAATGGGATGTCTGGGACAGGCATTTTAAAACGGGACTGTTGGCAAAACACGATTATGGTCACATTACTTTGACTATAGAAGTGTAGAGCTGGAAAGAACCTCAGGAGGCCATTCGTCTACTCCAGCCCCTGGCTCAAGGCAAGGTCATTCATATCTAACCCATCTTAGATCAAGATATATTTATACTGATGTATAACAAATGAGGATCTGGTCCCTTCTCTATTAACTAAATCCTGTGGTCTTTTACTTCATCTTTGCAAGGCGAATGCCCATTAAAATCAAGAGGGTAGTGTCTTAGGTAAGGACCTCAGGATTTAGTTCAGTGCTAGGGCATAATTATCTGTTTCTTTAACTATTCAAGACTACTACTATCTGCCAGTAAATTCAAAATTGTGTATATTTGGTCCAAAGCAGTATTTATTTTTTCAGACATGACTGGCAAATGGCAATGAAAAAAATGAAGTGAACCATAGAATTAATTTTACAAAGTAACCAAATATGAAGCTTTGGAGGTACCAGATTTCTTTAAAACACTTTCCTTATAACTTCTGTGCCAATTTAAATTAGCCTTGTACATGGGGGAAGGAAGTTTCTAAATCAGGCTTGTAATTTTAGAAAAGTGCCTAGCAAAATAGAATGGCAGAGATGCTGCAGGCCTGACAGGTGCAAGGTGTTGCGTGTCTGTATGATGTGCACATGCATCTGGAGATGAAAAGGGGAACTGTTCTGTACTTCTCTACTGCAGTGATATGCACTGTGCACATGACAGTCTGGATACAGCTAGGGAGGGAACAGAAAAGAAGAAGTAACAAGCAGCAGGTGGGTAGCACAAGGAAACTTTCCAAAATCCAACTACTGCAGTACAATAGACTTTAATAAGGTTATTTTGTTTCCTGTGAGATTTTGAAATATGCTGCTACTCACAGAAGTCTCAAATGACTGAAAGTCTTGACTACCAAGAGAACAAGGAAGACCTGTAACTTATATAATAGGAAAAACCCTAGTCACTGTCCCATTAAGCATATTGGGCCACCACCCCAGGAGATGGTGAGCCAGCCTTGGAGAATTTTGCAAGGCCTTATTTCATTAAAATCTAATAAGTTTTGCAATTACCCATACATTTTTCCATCTCAGCATTTATTTTTACAACCAGTCCAGTAGTGACTACATGCAGTGGCTCGCTCACCCTCAGCCAGCTCATTGACTCTTCAGTCAAAAGCTATTGCCTCGCCAGCAGCTGTGAGGACTAACACTGGGCTCTGCCCCTGCTCTTTGCAGCTCCGGGGAGAAGTGGCACTTTCCTTAGCAGCCATGAATCGCAATGTCTGCTTGTTTTATTCCACCTTGCTTCTATTCCAGCAAAGAAAAATCAGCTTCCCTGTTTAGGATACACACCTCAGTACTGGGAGGAAAGGAAATTTGTGATATGTGAGTAAGTACAATATTTTGTTATTAGCAGATTTTCAGTAATGAGTGAGGGCCTCCTACCAAAGATCATCTTACTTGTCAGTGTGCAACAGTAGTGTAAGTACAGACAGGTGAGCAGGGGAAGAGCTGCAGGGGGGGGTGGCCTCACTATTCCCCCTCTTCCCCCCCACCCCCCCCTCTTCCGCCCTCCTTCCTAGCACTTAACATCTTTCCTGTAGCAGCTCCAGCTCTCAGGGCGGAGGAGTAGCTTGCAGGGCTGGTGCCAGCCAGAGCCCTACCTCCAAGGGAAGCTGCTGCTGTGTATGGGGGGTGGGGGGGGGTGCTGGTCCAACCAAGAGCCAAAGTGTGAGGAGGTACATGGCCCTTTAAGGGCTCAGAACCCAGCCACAGGTGGTCAGCAGATAGGTCTGCCTGGCCGGGAGGGTTGGGATCAGGTGGGAGGCGATGGAGGCACCTTAAAGAGTTAAAAACTCCAGAACATCAGTGTTGTGGAGAAGATCAAGACTAAAATTGCAACTCCTCCTAAAGCCAATGGCTGGGCTAAAACTGCCCTGAGAAACAGAATGGAGCTGACTCTCCTGTGTAAGGCAGCAGGGTAAGTGACCTGCTTATACAGAGCATTTTCCTTCTTTGTTGTTGTCAAGTTCTGGTTTTTAAATTGTTGCTTGCCATTCACTCTGAGAGTGCTAACGCCTGCCTGCAGGGCTGGTGCCAGCCAGAGCCCTACCTCCAAGGGAAGCTGCTGCTGTGTAGGGGGGGTGGGGGGGGTCCTGGTTCCTCTGGGCACGAATGCTGTCAGTTATGCATCTGACATGAAGCCTCATACCTGCCTAGCCAGAGCACAGCCTGCTGCATGGACTCAGTAGCTGTGTGGATGTGTCTCCACACTGCCTGGGGGAAAGGACTGCAGTGTGTGCAATAACAGCAGTTACTTGGTTGCAAAAATATGTGTAAAAGTAAAATAGGATTCTGACCTTAGTGGCTGCCAGCACTGACCCTTCTCTGCACTGTTTGCTCAAGATCTCTGCCAGCCTGCTTTCCTGTATCTCTAGGGCATACACTGAATCACTAGCTTTCTCCACGACCTTTTAGTATAGGGAGAATGGCTGGTCCAGGTGTTAGCTCATTAGGATTGAGGGAGGGGGCTGGCTGTGATTCCCTGCTGTCTCAGGTTTTATGTGGGCATAGGGGTTAAGGGCCTTTATCACTTTAGGCACCTAAGTCTGAAATTTAGAAACTTAAAAAATCCACACTCAGCTGCCACTGAACAATGGTGGTGGTGAAGGGGAACAATAGTGCTTCCCTTCTCCCTAGAGGCAGCATGAGGATAAATGCATTGGAGGCTGTATGTAAATGAAAAGCTTCCCTTGAGGTAAAAGGGAACGGTGGGTTTCAGTGTCCATCAACTGTCTTATGCCTGTGTGCACACCCCCAACTCCCAGTAAGCAGAAGCTGAACCACTGGATGTACCCTTCTATTGTGGAGTGCTAAGCTACTGGTGGGAAGAGCTGTATGGATGCAGAAGACATCCATGGTAAGCACCAAGTGAGCCCAGGGTGGAGGGCTGGAAGGCTTTGGGTGTTGTTGTACAGTACTAAACCCAGCCTGGCTGAACTATGAGAGTACCAGCTGGGGTGGCTGGCTTCATGTGTAATGGGAGGTAAACTGATGTTAGAGTTACACGGTGCAGCCCCCTGCTGCAACTGTTAAATAGCAGTTCTTCAAAAGTGTTGGGGGACAAGAGGGAGGTATAAGCCAGTGTTTGTATGGAGAGGAGAAACGGAGCATGCTGAGCAGGGCCCTGCACCAATCTGACCTGGCCCTGTTAATGTGAATTGATTAAATCTCTCTGGCTTCATCAATATTTGTTCAGGAAATAAGGAGAAGAAAAGCCTGTTCTCCATTTTAAACGGTATTTTTCCATTGAAGAACCAGTTTCTGTCCTCTGTCATCGTGCTGTGCGTTTCTATTCACAAATCTGCTTTCTGGTGACACCCTGCTCACAGCTGCAGCAACCATACTGTGGGTGGTATAGGTTTGGTCAGCAATCCTCTGGGCGTTTGCATCTCTGGCTGAAAAAATCAGCTCCAGAAAGCCAGGCTTTGTGCTTGTACTGGAACTTGTGTTTTAATTACTACTTAGATATTTAAATTCATGTCAATACACAAACACCTGAACTTCAGGCAAAAAGGATTCTGGCAAAACACAAGAGACTGAAAATCTCTGCAGGAGTCCTCGTACTGGCTGCCTGAGCTGCACTGAGTGAACAGAGAAGGCCTTGTAGCAGGAGAGTCCTGGTTAATTGTGACACAAGGAGCAAGAAAATGAGCAGGAGGCTTGGTTGCTTCTCCATAGGTGTCTCAGCATATCTATGCAGACTCAGTAAAGATCTTCCCTATAGCTGTGCTAGCCTGCCACATTGCTTATCGCTACTGAAACAAAACATGCTACTAAGTCAGCTGTCCAAGGAAAAGGTAAAGCAGGCCATGTAGGCAGCGAGACATGGTCAGTGAGTCTCCAAATAACACCAAGACTCTGTTCTGCAGTCCCCGGCAATACAAAGATACTGATTGCCCCCACCCCTTTCCCCCCACCCCACAAATTGGATCTTAAAGCAAATCCCTAGCACAAAGTTCCTCTGGGCTGTATTGGGTGAAGAGACCCACTACTAACTGGGTCTTTGTAGAAAGGCTTTAACTTAACTTGTGGGTGAAACAGTAGACTACTACAGGCATTTTTTATGAACATTGTATTTTTGAAGACTTTCATGCAGCCTTTCTACCTTCCTCAGTCCTTCACAGCTATTCCAATAGGCCTATGATCCTCCCAGCAGTGACCAGAGAGAATCACAATGTCTTCTTTATTCTCATTCTGCCCACAAATTCTATGAGGAACACAAGACTGGAAAAAGATCTCAAGTTGGATTCCCCTGCTATTGCTCCATTTCTTTAGCTGCCTCTCCTGCTCTACCAGCCAGCCCTAGATAAAGAATGCTAGCCAGAGCATCTGTCTAGTTTGGGGGTGGTCCAAGTGTGGCCCACAGGGCCCCTAAGAAATTTAGAAAATTAATATTTATCTGCCCCTGGCTGCCTGTCTTGCGGCCCTCAATGGCTTGCCAAAACTCAGTAAGTGGCCCTCTGCCTGAAATAATTGCCTGGCCCATGTCTAGTTCCTTCTGCCTGTATTTGTAGTCTCCATTTATCTAAGCTAGTGCATA